GTTTTGGTTCTAGCAGAATGAAACACCATGATCTACATTGAGCTGCGTGAACCTGGGAAACACGTCCCATTCCGGGAAAAGTTTTCCCGAGTAGAACTGTACAATGGTTGCATAAAACTCTCAGTTCCCAAGAATTTCTTCGAGGTACCAGGGTTCGAATTCATTTGAATTTAAAGTGAACGATTTGTAATATCAATTTAGAAGTACTCAACGTGCGTTTTAATTTCTCCTTTCTCCTTTTCCAGATTTCAATCCATGCGTGATCATGTCTGGCGTGCAAGCCTCAGTACAACAAGAGGAACCGTATCCTATAACATTGCGGGGCATAATTTGGTTTTTAAAGACAACTCCAGCAGAAATAAAACTTGCCAGGGCGTTTTCAAACCAGAAGTTTGAAGATAAAGTCGGGTTTGGCGCATTGCGTCAATGGAAGTCAGAATTTGATTTGGTATTTTGACCTACTACTCATAAGTAGATAACTTCTTTCCTTATATCTCGATACACTTTGGCCTCGTGTATTATTCGGGACATTGTATATTCTCATTCATTCTTATAATTCATGCCCTCTAAGAACGGTAGATACGATGCGAATAAATTCCATTGTTGATGATTTCTTTTTAAGAAGTTCTAACCATCCTTGGACTGCAAGTCAGTATTGTGAAGTTTATAATGTTAATAACAGCGAAGTCGGTAAAGAATTATATTCACCGACGTTTAATTATAGCATTCACAATACAACAACACATGGCGCATCGATTTTTCTATACACTCCTAAGTCAATAAAAATTAAAGTTGTATTGTTTGTTTAATAATTCAAAAGAATGAATACACCAAAAGAAAACATATTAGAAGGTTGTTTAACGCAGAATACTTTGACTAAAATGTACTGATTCTAATTCAAATTTATGTACCTCATGTATCTGTGCTAAATTGCCACAATTAACCTTAACAAAAACACTTGTAGAGGATTTGTACCTTCATTGGATGATTGTCCGGTAAGTCAATTATTGACTCTGTGTGGTTGTATCAACATACCTGCTTCGCCTATTAAATGATAATCGTTGATAAGTTGGTCAATATTCTAAGTTAGCTAACGTATCTCACCATCGATAATGGATGAGGTCCTTTTTAGAAACTCATCCCATGTCAACTTCCAATTCACAACCAGTCTGTACTCTCCCACTAGGGGAATATATATATAATGAAATATTTACATCATCGAATACTGTTTTCATAATCCAAAAAATATTCTGATGCACGAATAACAATTATGTATGTGTAATGTATTTTGGAATGAATTCTTTTGGATTAGTCATTCTCAAGCTACTACATTAATATACAATCACAAGATGGAAACAAAACTCATGATTCATAAATAAAGCCATTGAACTGAAAATATTCTATTCATCCTATCTGGCCATTGCACAGAAAGTTAAGGATCGACTGCCATTGTCAACCATTTCTACGTGTGTCTATCAGTTCACATGCTCCTGTGGAGCCGGCTACATTGGTTGTACCAGTCGGCAGTTGACTAAACGGATTAAAGAGCATCAGCCGGGCTGGTTGAAAAAAGGACTATCAAAAGCCATTCGTACCTCAATTGTGGAGCATCTGAACAACACGGGGCCAACGGTAGATGTCGAAAGGTCATTGAAGTTCATCTACAGAACCCCGATGAATCTGCTCAAACACCTGCGCCAGATCAGGCTTTGTACGGCCGAGGCGGTGACTATTCGTATCCACCACCCCTAACTGTGCAAACAAAAGCGGATTGTTCACATATGGAGTATGCGATGGCCCGACGATATGAAGTAATTGACCAGTTGCCAGTTCGTGATCATATATTTATGTAGAAGCTTGAGAATCAGTAATTGAAAAGAATTTTCCCTTTTCAGTTGTATTTTTATTGATCAATGGGGATATTTCAAGGAATTTTGCACTGCCTTATAAGTTAAATTTTGGAAAATACATAGTCTTGTTTGCATTACAAATGATGAAATTTCTTGATCGATTTTGATTTGCCCGGTTTTGATTTTTTCTAAAGTGGATACAAATGTGCAAAATCATTTTATCCGAATGGAAACATACGTAGGATAATTGTTCAGCAATGGTAGGATCCGAACACACAAGCTTCGACTTGCTTTGTTATCAGACTATATTGCTTTGGTACAGTCTTCTGGTGAGTGTCAGCAAATGTAATTGACAGTTCCAACAAATTTGCGTGTTTGATTTCATGATTCTAGGATTTAATGCGGTCTGCTTTTGACAAAAGCAAGAATTTCGCTAAACTAATTTGCTTCAGAGCCTGTGAGCAGGACGACGTCTCACAGTGTCTGATAGAAAATTGGCCCATAGGTACGACGAGATGAACGGTAAAATCCAAACTCAAACTACGTTCCGATTATCGGATTTAGACAGCTTAGTATTGGATCTCAGTAATGGATCTTTCAATTATAATTTTACTCTTTGGCTTAGAAGCCTCAAATTTGATGAATTATTTTGTGACTCATGAAAGACACTTGATTACTCTTTATTGTTGGGGCTCAACAACAAGGCTCATTGTTCGTGTTTCCCCCATCCGTACTCGAACCACGAACCTTCAGCTTGGGACCATGCGAATTCGTTGATCACAGAGTTTGTGTATTTCTCCCCCACCCTCTGCGGAGGCATCAAAGAGGTACGTATTGCGGACCAGTCCCCAAATGAGACAAAAGAGCTGTGCACTAAGATCCACTGGCTTTCACGCACACTATACAGATTCCGATATCTATGTGTTCGCGTGGACAAAATCTGATCGAATTGAAGTTCCCTTGATGTAACGCTGTCTCCTCGCAGATAGGTAAACCAACACGGGTGAAATAATAGATTATGGTCAAACTGACAAACTGACAAGACTGTTAGGGCAAACTGTAGTGGAGTTGTATTCATTCATTCACTTTGGCCGCAGTACAATCCTGTGAATTCGCCTGCCATTCATTCACATTGCAGTACATAAAACTTGACGGTGAGCACTTGACCATGGAACAGTTAGTCGCACTGGGAGATGGCAAATATCGAATCGAGGTGAGTTTGTTCGAAAACAAAGCAAATGATTTCTGTTCGTCTGGTTGTATTTTGTAAACTTCAAATTAGTTTTGAATGTTTAAAAGAGTTGAAAAGTACCATTGTTCTTATTAAATTTCTCGGTCTAGTGGTCAAAACCATCTTTTAGATAAGCTCAGATCGTGTATTCGTGTTTGTGGCGCATAAACTGACTGGGACATGGATGTATATTGGATTGCTTTTTTCTAATACACATCGCTACTTGGTCAAAAGTAGAACAGATAAACTTAGCAGTCACATGGGACGTACTAAACCATAAAACATCCCATTAATATAGACATAAAAATAAGATGGACATCAGATAAGCTGTCTAGTTTTCATTCTTAGGGAGATTACCGTCACAACGAATGCCCTCAGTGGCAATACACCACTAAAGAATTTATCTAGGAACAACCGGTAAGTAAACGACGGGCAAGTCCATGGGTAGAGTATAACCTTTGAACTGGGTTTTCAAACTGCGAATTCCACTATGTAAGCGGTTGCTATCGGGTTCATCCAACACTCTATACTGAACACTCTATACCCAACACTATTTTTCGCGAGACACAGTAATGAAATCGCGAAAAACAACATACAATAGGCCAGTCCTCCCATTGTTTGCTTATATAGAAAGGTAGAGGAAAACGCATTGACGAGGTCAATCGAGCCCAGTTTGATACGATAACCACAGAGAATCCAGACAACTTGTCCAATATTGATATCTCCGAATTTTTATACACAGTTACCCTTTCTCGCCATTTTCACCTCTTAATAGATATGCGTGTATCTCAAAGGAGTGTTGGTTTGCAGAAAATTTGTTATCGATGAATTTTCTACAAATAACTGTCGGAAGAACGCACAGATTAGGTAAATCATTTCATCAGTATGAGCAGTCACCGCAGTAAACACTTGGGTAAATTCGTAGACAGCAAGAAAGGCTGACGAAAACAGGGAGCGCAGATACCGCATTCATTCGGATTGTGACCAAACCACTTAATCCAGTAGACAAGATCTTCTACCAGGACGGAAAGTTCGCCAGTGAATTCTGATTGGCTGAAACAAGTGATCATGTCATCAATAACTGAATGGACGATACAAAGAAGCGAATTGGCTGATCTCTGTCAAGCCCACAATAAAACAAAAACATGAATACGAATCCTTAAGATGGCCAGAAAGTCAACTTCGTTTAAGAGAGACGAACAGGAAATGCATCACTATGGACAACACAGAGCACAGGGTCTAATTGTACACGCATCCTTTAAAGCATTCTGATATGATAAGCGCTGTAAATGATAAAGCCGCTGCTGTTGGTTTGCTGCCACATTCTTCATTGTCTCCAGCTAACCAGGCACAGAATCGTTCAAGTCAGGTTGTTTTGAAGATTGAAATTCTAATTGCAAAATGAGAAACTTTCACTAGCCTCTGCAGATCGCGTGGATGATTTAAATGTGAAAAGATGAGGAACGAAGTTGTGGCCGAAGTGTTCAGCTGGTAGAGTGTGTAGTGTGCCAAAGTGTAGTTCGAGTCCACAAGCGTGTTATAGAACAGGTTATTGAACTTTTGACACTGTGAATAGTTGGAGGTACATTTGGAGCCAAGTTTTTCTGTTTTTTCTCACCTAGTCTGCCCGTTGTTTTCTGACTTTAGCGTTAATTTCTCAAATCTGGAGGAGCAACCAGAAACTAGAACCTACGCCGAGGATCACGGCTAAGCATACAGTATACGCACCTTGAGCAGAGAAACCGACACATTTAAATTTAGTATGGCACCGAATTATCCGCCCGTGCTCTCCTGAATAAACCACAGATCACAAGCCCACTTTTTCGTACTGGTGTCCAATTACCCAAACACTGTTGGTAGAAATCTCTAATCGATGGTTGTCTTCCACATTCAAATTCAAGGTCTCAACCTTAATGAAACGTCGCCTCTACGCTAAGGGTGTTTTAGTCTAGCAGTACGAGCCTTGAATATGTATGCGCAGTCATCTTTTGAACTGTCCCTTCCTCAATGGTTTCGTTAATGCCTGTGTAAGAGAAGCAATCCACTGCGGGCGAATCCTGACCATTTCACTTTAGAGCAAGCCCGGTCGACAACCGGTTCTGCAGCGGCAAAAGGAGCGTCGGGACTTGATAATCTGTCCAGATTGCTTTACGCGTCGCTCGTAAATTTGAATGGACAGACAATGTGATCATCATAATCAGTTTTGCGTCACCGTCCCACTCAACATTAACGCTGCATTTGCAGTTCTATTGGATGTATCACAGTTCATAAAGCCCCAAGTGCCACTGCAAAAGCATCTGGGTAGTATCAGGCCAGTTGAACTGTCCTCGAAAAGTACTTTGCCAAGCAATTAGTCCATATTATGTATGGGTCGTGGGTGTGGTAGCAGTCCGGATTGATTAGGTGATCAACAACCTGATGAACACATGCAGTAAATGTTCCAATCAAGGGTAGGGTCAAAAACAGTAAAAAACAGTTTTGCTTGGAACGAATGAAATATCAAGGGGAAAACAGTGCGGGAGCTTACACTTAAATGATCCTTGTTCCGTATCATTGAACCTACCGCCACCCAGTCCAGACTTGCAAAGGTTGACAGTACTATCATTTGTGTTACCGTGTAGATAGTCAAACTGATTTGATCAAGACAGCGAATGGTTTTTGACATGGCTTATCGTGCAAAATACTTTAACGCTTGACCTTCAAATTAGACTGACAATGTTATACATAAATTTTCTTATCCTACCTCATTCCATTTCTTTTTTTAAAGTTGGATCCCGCGGCAGCGCATAAAGTGGCACAGAGTAGACTGATTATAGACGACATTGTATCGAAAAACAAAAGTAGGTTTCCCAACCTTCATCCTGAATTGACCCTTTCGTTCATCACACAGTTGCTTATGGCATCACGACCGGGTTCGGACTATTCGCGTCCACAGTTATTGATCGACTCAAACTGAAGTGAGTACAGTCGTCCGTGGTATTCGGTTGCGTACAACATATGTATAGTTGTAGTCACGGCTTTTGCAAAACGTCCCCTTCAAATTTTTTATCATTTTGAAACAGAGAACTACAAATCTCACTGCTTCGCTCACATGCGGCCGGAGTGGGGAAACCGTTATCTTTGCGTATGACTCGAATGCTGTTTGCTCTTCGGATCAATATTTTGGCCAGAGGATATAGTGGTATCTCTTTGGAAACGCTAGAACAAATGGTTCGAATGTTTAACGGTACGTTTTTATATCATTTCTCGTGTTTGTAAAATCGCGTAGTTAAGCTGTACCCTTACCAGGAAAAAATCATAGTCATTGAATACGGATCGTGAACACATAATGTACTCTACTCTGGGAAAGATGCACCATATTCATGCGTGATATTACCCATCAAATTGTCAGAACGTGTTATTACTTTTACCTATTTTATTGAAAAGACTGTTAAACAAGTTCTTTTCCGAAATTCATTTGACTGACCAATTTTATTACCGAAAATGTGATTCAAATGAAATTCAACGCAAATTTGATGTTTCTTTTTGAAGAATCTGGACTGAGTAATTGTAGGATTGTGGAAAGCAGAGATGCTCCTTTTTGATTAACTGAAGTTGAACTCATCTTGTATTGTCCTCCTCGCGTTCACAGGATCTGCGTATCAATGTTCCATGGTGTGGGTCTCACCCCGTGAACGTTTATGTAGTTCACACACAGGTGATTAGTTTTTTTATGTAAGTGCGGGGGAGTATCTTGATCCGCTTTGGATTCATTAGCCGTATTCCGTTAGGGACACCAAAAGGGTACACTTGGCAAACATGTATCGTCTAACTCGGTCAGGTGTGTGTGATGCCCGGAAGAATTCACTTGCTTTGTGATTACATTACTCGTTGGAAAGGACAAAAATAAGCAAACTCTCAACTTGGATGAATCATTGAAACCTAAGCTACCTGTTATGGCAATTGAGGTGGTCTGAACAACACAAGAAGAGTAGAAGTCGACATTATTTGCTGATATGAGTACAAGAAATTCACCTGCTTGTTGCGGTGCGTATCTTCTGATCGACAAGCTTGCCAACATGTTTTTATGTCTCTTCTTCCAAAACAGCCTCTTGTCTTCCGTGGATTCCTGAGCAAGGAAGTGTCGGTGCATCAGGAGACTTGGCTCCCTTATCCCATTTGGCTCTAGGCTTGACGGGAGAGGGGAAAATGTGGAGTCCGATCACCGGATGGACATCGGCGAAAAATGTGAGACAACCTTCCGCCCGGATTCCATTTATCTTGTCATACAGCTTGGCTCACCCATAAAGTATCTGACTCTAGGTAGTGAGCGAATTTAATAGAGCTTGGAGTATGTTGTTTTTCTTAACATTTAAATTGGTTTTCATCAAACTGTTTTTATACAGAAGGTTGATTGGTAAGTTTTTAAACTTCTGAAAGAAGATGCCTCAGAATTGTATTGTTGGTTAATAAAACTTTCGAATGATAACAATAGAGAGAACTTTCATTGTCGATCGTTCACTGATGAATTGCAAATGGGGTCAAGTGTTTATCCGAACTTCCTGGGTTTAGTTTGAGGAAACGTTTTCCATTCACCTGTATTGTAACCAAGGGCAAGTAAATTTTGGTAAATTGTTATACGATGATGATCACGAATAGATATCAAATTTGAACTGATCCCGTCTAAGCGTTTTGGAAGACCTATTGAAGGCTGATTACCTCTGGAATCTAACAGTCAATATCAAAGCGGCCACTATTACATATCAAGGGAATACAGATAGTTCGGAATTGAAAGGTGAAAAAACAGAGTTGGAGTAATTACAGATTTCATTTTGATTTAATGTGAGAGTGGTGAGAGGCTAAATGAAGCAAAACAGTGTGATCTGACCCTGATGAGTTTGGAAAAATGATTTCATGATCTGATCGGTGATAGGATTGGGCCAGACATTACTCAACAACTGCCATGAGTCACCGCTCATGGTAGGGAAAATTCTGCTTTTCAACAACTAGGGCGCTTAATTCGTCGCATGACTTTGGTCCGTCTTGTATGTAAGGGTCAAGCCTACCTTGGCAAAAACAATGTCCTGTTGGGTTTGAAACAGTTGTATAGTGTTTACTAGCTTCTCACTTCACGTCTCATTCACCTTGTACACGAGAAAGTTCAAAACATTTCACATTATTTATTCGATCAACTGACTCAATCGTGTGAGATATGCGTTTAATTCTCATCTTTTTTGCTGAACAGCTGCCTATTCGTTGAAAGAAATGCGTTGGGGTGAACAAGATGCTTGATGAACGTTTAAACACCTTTTTATTTATTGTGAATGGGTCGTCTTACGGTGAGGATGGAATAAAGTTTCGTTTTAAGAGGGTGGCATCATCTGGAGTGTATGGGCAAATGAGCTACATATACTAAATCAAATATACTTGTGAAATGTGGTCGAATTGCATTCTTTCCTCAGAGCAAAGAGGAGAGATTTGTTCTTTTTATTATGCTCAATAGGTCCTCTTTTGAAGAGTTGCCTTAATGCATCGTGGGTTTCGCCAGAGTCATCAGAACAGTTTTCGTTAAAAAAATATAAAAATAAATATAAAAAATAATTTAAATGGAAAAGTCGTAGCATTTAATAAGAACAGTAATCTAGTTAGGAACGCTTTCATACCCTGTACCGAAAGACTCACTAGTGAACTTTTTTCAATGTGGTTTGTATTAGTCGCCATCTTGCATGCATACCAAATAATTTCATAATGAGTGTGTGAATTCATCTTGATGACAGAGTGATATTAGCTCTCCTCAAATGCTTTTTAACCTCAGATTCAATAAAAGTTTTTTACACTATTCAAGGTAACTTCGGTTAGTTTGACAAAATTATCGATGTAACTATAAATCAGTGTTTATCTCCATCTCTTTCTCTATCTACCTATAAAACAACTTGACCAGATTTGTTTACTTTCAGGCATTGACATCCAACAAACTTGAACCCTTGGATTTAAAACCAAAAGAGGTAAGGTGCGCACAAATTTGCATGAATCTTTAATTAAAGACAAAATGCATAAAGTCCGTTGTGCAACTGGCCGATTGTAGACAAACTGAACTTATTCAGCTTGGTGGCAAGAATTGCATGGAGCACGCAAAATACGAGCTGTTCAACTGATCGAATCTATTCTCATGTTTCTTATCCTTCAGGGTTTGACTATGATCAATGGAACGCAACTGATTTGCTCAATTGGAAGCTACGGTACAGTCTACTTTTGAATTGGAAATACGGTTAAATAAAATAGCTTTCCCAGATTTGACTTAATTTACAATTTCATCAAATTGGTTTAAATTTTATTCACAAACAAAATCACAATAAGCCGATTTTGCGCAAAATGTGTTATTACCCAATGAATACATGAGGGTAAAATAACTGTTTAAAATAAAATCCACCAATGAGACCAGGTTTTTATATTATTATTAGATCAATTTGATTTTCTTTGAATTCCATTATTTATATACTGGGAGTTGAAATACAACTATTACAGTAAAAATGGTGATTGGAAAATGCCGTCGAACCAAAGACCATTATTCCGGCGGGGTTTGCTAAACAGAGTCGATCAGTTACTTAGTGCTCTTTAAATCGTGCGTACCAAACAGTCATCTATCTCTTCATCTCTTTATGGCACACAAAGCCCTTTAATTTTTCGCGTCTCCTGACTTTATTTCTGATGAAATGTTTTTCGGACTAAGTATTTAACAAACGGAATGGAGGAGAACACTCTACCAAACTTATCACAGAACACGGGATCAGAAGCATTATCAAATATGGGCTATTTGTTACCCTTAGTTCGTGCAATATCACAAACTGAGGGATTTACATTTCATTTACTAGTTATCATTACATTGCTCGATCAGATTGTTCGGTGAGAATATTTTTCAAAAGTTTATTCAAAAATAAACCGATGTTTAAGTATTCAGATTTCACTTGTTTGCAAATCAGTCATATTCTACCTAACAACTTCCTTATTTCTAGCTTTCGTTCGAGCTGAAAGAGCGGCCCTACAGGCTGATGTCATAGCCGCTCTAACACTGGATGTTTGCATGGGAACAGTTTCGGCTTTCGATGCGGGTAAGTCCTGATAATGCATGTCTTCATGAACCGGTCAGTTGCTTAAGTATTTTTTTTTCTAGTAGCTGCACATTTGAATGCGATTTTGATAAAAACAAAGGTCTCCATAGGTGATGAAATTTGCCTTACATGGGTAAACATCGATGAAGCTAACATTGTCTGGTCATCAGCTAGGACCTGTCAATTAGGAATACATTAAGGTATCTTCATTTAGCTTCCTTTTGGTTGATACGGCATTCTATCAATATATATGGGAAATAATTTAGTAACATCAAAGTAAAGTGTTGTCATGAAGTTTCATATTCGAGAATATACCTAAACCTCAATTCATAAACTTTTCATCATCTTCTCGTATAAGATTGACAATCTACCACACATTTGGTTTTACCGAAACATGTTCCATTTTTTCTATATTTATCCACTGCTAAAAAATGATCCCGACTTCTTTTCATTCGTTGCATTCAGACGTGTCCAGGGTTCGACCACACAAAGGACAAGCGATCGTGAGTCGGCGACTCAGAGCTCTGCTGAATAACAAACTATTCCACTCAGAACTAGCCGGTAAGTGAGTCAGAGCCAATCAACACTNAATGAATCTCTCCCCCCCCCCAATCCCTGAATTGCAGTATTTGTGTCATAGAGATATTCATCGTTCAGATCGTTTGGCAATGTTTATTGGTGTCAAACAGTCCTGCCGCATAACTTAATATCTACATGTCAAACTTCCCGCTCTAGTACTAACTTTGGTCAGTTGTTCACAAAAGGTGATTACCAGGTGATGAAGTTCCGCTCAAATCATTATCATTCTTCCCATACCGAATCACAGAACGGATCTAAGCAGTGAATAGGGGAGAACTGTTGCCAGTGCAAAATAATTTTTCCTTTTGAATAAAAAAGCTGATGAATGTAGTTTGCTTTCTGACTATTCAGGATAATTACCGCTAACCGAGAGTGAGCGTCCGATTCAAACCGATTGTAAACTTTCCTGAATAATTGAGGGTCGGCAAATTCAACTCCGCGATGATTTCATGTAGTTCATAGTATTTTCATCTCAAGAGAGTGAACAAAAAAGCTAATTCACGCTTTAAATAGCTAATGCCTAATATTGAAAGCATATTATATTTTCTGAACTGAGATACTATCTTCTATTGGTCATTTTGAGTGCCCCGTTACAGATGAATTGTATTATACATCTGTATTATACATACGCTGTGAAATAAAATAGTTGAAAGCGTGTAGACATTGCCACCCTCAGCTCACCCCAAATGACCTCTGCCGAAACGTAACCCCCCCCCCGAACTGCTTGAATACAGGAAGCGCGTTGCTTAATTCTAAACACCTGACTGGAATTTATTGGAACCGTGAAAATTGGTCAGTCGAGGTTGTATGGGTGATGGTGGCCCGGTGGTAACATCACCAAACTATCACCCTGGATAACGTGTGTTTGAATTCCATCACCACCGCCTGTATTTCCCCATTGTATGTGTTGTATCGCAGCCCTTTGATTGGCCTCTTCCACCTTCCTGAAAATTGTATCATTGTGAATACAATAAAAAGGAAGCCATAATCCAAAAGAGAGAAAAGAAAAATATTTGAAAATACCAATTCATGAATTCAAGAATTATAATCTATTATACCAAAATCGTTATAACCACTGATATTACACCCACCCACCCTCACCTTATTTCCGACAATAAGCTTGAGAAAGGGTACAATAAAGTTGGATTGCAAGTTTATGCTAAGGCAGCTTTCACTACACCTCAGATGACAGAAAACGGTAGAATACAACAGTTTATATCGTTGGATAGCACATCAGGACACACAAGAATGCGACAGGGTCGAATGATCACGTTTTTTATCACTGCCAAGATGGTAATTGTGTGACTGATGGTTACTTTTGCACACATACACACAGGAAAGGTTTTCATCTGATAATTGCAACCGACTCCGCGAACCTGAGCAGCCGGGCATTGTATCGGGTTAGTCAACAGATGCTGAGCGATAGAGGACGCAGGTGGTTTTTTGAGTTCGCTATTCTCGGGTAAGGATGCGGGTTGGCAACGGTGTAACGTGGTTGAGTGTGTTGGTGGTGTGTTGCGTGTGCCTGTGGGTTTGAGGATTTGAAATGGACAATGACCTATGGTCATATGACTCGGTCAATCAGCATCTGATCCAACGTGCAATGTGACCCTGGATCCGTGTATGTAACTGATTACCTGTTCTGCCAGTGCAAGATACTCCATATTCACCTTGAAATTGGTATGTCACGTGTGATCTGCGGGATAGCGATAAGAGTGAAGATGCGTACTACTCCGTACAGAACGATCGGGTTGGCACAATTACACATAAGTGCTCTTCGCCAATTATTTTAATTGGTCTTGAATAATCAGGCTGATATCGCCGCCTTAGTAGGGAAGACAAATGTACAAATATTGGTCAACTTCATGCAACACTTTGACTTTCTTCACACTTTTACCTCCCACAGCTCAGTGTTTCGAGCCTCATTCAGAATTGAGTATGATGTTACCCCAAATCAAACGCAACAAACCTGTACTAATACCTACTTACGTTTTTGGTTCTATTTGTCAAATGCCACTAACAATTACGATTTCTCCTCTTTGACAACGGTTGCCGGTGCATCGGTTGTAAAATACCTGCAAACCTCCTTCTTTAGGATGTCACACACTGATGATTTCTGGTCCGGTATCCGACTGAACTTCTTACGAAATCTGCCTGGGAAACCGCTCTCGGAAAGAATTGATCACAGTTGGTATAACTCCGCTTGCCAGCCATTCCCAGTGTAAATGCAACTTGCTCAGTTGAATAGCGCCCGCATCATACCGCGCTTGTTGTCGATTGACACAAAACCACGGAAATGTAGATATTGGCCCGTTCATCTGCTCTTGAGATATCCAGTCCTACAAATCGTTCCGTTTTGCCTTCTTTTTATTAGAATATTCTAATCATCTTGTTTTCATTCCAACAAGAAATGTATACACCTCGCGACAAAATTATTGCACTCCCCCCGCCCGGATTTTACCTATTAAAGCCACTTTATTATTCTGTATACGATTTCGAGTCAATATTATTCGACTCTCTAATCACCGATGCCTCCAATTCATGGTTTGAGAGTGTAACCCCTGGAGTGTTGATGCACCTTTCGAGCAAGAATAACCCACATGATTTCTGTTGAGTTCATACATACACTCAGGCTGCACTATTGTTTTGATGTGGCGAAATAGCAATTTGTATTGCGTTAGATAAGAAAAGTAAACTACGGCAATATCATGCGGAAAATGGTTTCAGCGTATTCATTCAATATCATAAGGTGCCACTCCAATGAATGAATATGTCCATCAGAATTCTGTGCCTTACGTATCACGATAGGTTAGATTGCATTGCAATACTTTATGAGGCACTGTCGGGGAGATTTGACCCATAAGCCGCTTACCACTCTTTCCACAAATCGTACTAGCAGTAGATTCATGCATTGAATCAATCAGAATCAAATCTTTTCTCGTGGCTGAAGTAGACGCAATTCCATTCGTTATTCCAAATTACGTTATGTTTAGTTCGTAATAGAAGTCGTTCTATTTTTGAAGTTGCTAAAGCAATACTCCTGTTCATTTTCTCGTATTTCCTTCAAGGGACTCCTTTGTTCTCCACCGCATGACTCACAGAATTTGAGGCCATGTGTAGCCATCTACCCATGCCTTACTCAGAGAGCTTATTCTGTCGTCCAATCTAATCATGACTGGTGTTTAGCTGTTTGCGCTTCAAATGTCATGCCGCAGTCTGATGGGAACCCACTAAACAGTGCTGACTTCAAACTCACGAAAGATATCACTTCTGGATTTCTCGTTATAATCTGCCCCTGAAGTGAGCATGATCGTGGCTTACACTGCCACTCTATCAACCACTGACTCAGCACGCTTGCCAGTTACCAGGTCGATGTACAAACTCGGAATGCACATCGCACCCGAGTTGGATACTTGAAGTCCATAATAGTAATTTTGTCACAAGGCGTGTGTAAATTGTTGACGATTCAAAGGGAAGAAGTAACTCACTGGCGATTTTGTCCCATGATGGGTATATCAACGTATCTTCTCAGTCGTATAAACTTATCTAAGGTATGTGCTGCCTCGTGTTCCAACTTGGTAGGGAATAGGTCCTCGAGAATAGGTTCCAAGAGATTTTTTTCGCTACATCGTCCATTTATGGATAAGCTTGGCCCTAAGAACTGAAGCTGATATATGATGTGCATAAGAGAAGCAGAAATTCTAGCTCCGACTTTTATTTTATTCTGCTCAATATGCTGTAAAGTGTTTTCGATTTTCTCTTGCAGTGGCTTGTTAGTTAATAGTGATTCAATATCCCCTGGAGCCAGGGATGTACTTTTATCTTCAAATCCCCTATCATTGTCACTGTCATAGTAAGGGTAAAATATTGTGATCATCATTCAACCCCATGCTATTCGTGCCGTTCAACAATATAAACTGTTGTTTTCTGCCGTATCAAACCCATTGAGATGCAGTGAAATTCACCTTGACATAGCTCGTGCCACCCGGATTTGTTGCGCTCTCTTCACGCATGCCATTTCGTTTGTGAGCAACTCTATCCTTTATATATCAACATAGAACAAATAACTTCGTTTTTATTTCGTGAAAAAAAGAATTTCGTTGAGAGTCAGCGTAGGATCTCGAGAAATCAATAATCCACTGCTCTCCCAACCAGCTGATCTCATACCAAAACAAGAGGTTTATGATGCCTGTAAACTATCTTTTGAGATACTTCAGCTATTTCATTTTCTTCATTCCCGCTTACGCCTTTCCGCATCCCTTCTGAACAGAAAGTCATCGATTCTGCTCCAAAGTACAAGATGCGTACACACTGCGCTGTTGTCCACAAGTCCATGGGATTGTGTGGGACACCATTGATTTTGTTCGTGGTATTTTGCTGACCGAATTGAATAGTTCCACGGACAACCCGGTACGTTTTCCCCTATATTTTCATGTCGCCTTAGCGTTGCGCAAATTGCATGTCAAAATATTCTGAAATATCCCAACTATTTTAAAATCCAATCTCTCACCGGGTTCTTTCTACCCTCATCAGTTGGTGTTCGCCGAGCGTGAACTTGTTCTGTCCGCTGGAAATTTCCATGGTGAATATCCGGCCAAAGTGTTGGATTATCTAGCTATCGGGGTCCACGAGCTGGCTAACATGTCCGAAAGACGAACTGAAAGACTGGTCAATCCGGGTAAGTCGCCCGAAGTCGGCAGTGTTGAAAGTCACAGTGATTGCAGTCTTTCGTAATATTTTGTTATACAGACCTTTTACCAATATTTGCCAATCTTTGCGGACGTTCTAGAGCCTTCTTGTCCTGATTCAACCATAGATTTCATACATGAACGACTCATTCCGTTTTATCGAATAAACGTTAAAAGCGTAGGAAGAGTACATTTTTGAACTGCCCGAAAGTAGTCCAACTTGCTTAAGATCCATGTATGATGCTCTGGCACAGTGCGTGGAACATTCTACGTCAACCTGTACCATAACTTCCAAAT